TGGCGGGGGAAGATGGATGGGGCGCGGGTGGATCTCGTGGAGATTCGCTTGCTGGGTATAATGGAAAGAAAGATGTACGTGATTTCGGGAAGGGGAAGCGATCTTAACCCATTTGTATGTATCAAACCGCACGTGTGCTCGTCCTCCCTTCTTTATTGGAATCGAAATTATTGCCATTTCGAACGAAAAAAAAAAATCTCTTTTTCTCGATTCGAAGAAATATCTACGATATGTAAAATAATATGCAAAGGGTTAACAGAAATTGTTGCCGAAGAGATGATTGTGTTTATGCTATGGAATTAAATAGCTGGTAAATTGGAAAGTAATTAACGAAGGGAAAAAAGTTGAACGTGAGTAATTTCAAAGTTGCAAATTGTTCTTTTGTTTCGGATTAAAAAGGGGTAACTTTGAAAGAATTTCTGAGAAGAAAAGTATATTTCGCAATTTTCTGATGCGAAAGGAGAATATACAGAAAACTCGTAAGCGAGTAAAAAGAAGAAACGAAGGGTTTATTATTCACGTTGTAACCAATTTAATTTCCGTAATCTACTGGAGTAGCCTGTACGTAGGCAATTCGCTCGGATTACGCACAGCGAAATTTTCAATTTCTTCTAAGTTTCTGTCAAACTTTCTACTCTAAAATTTTTTCATCGTCGAATTGAAGAGAGGAAAGGGTATTGTATCGGAAATAAATCTGGTTAAAGCTTCTAAAATCGAAGGAATTAAATTTTCTCGCGTACTCTCTCGATTTAGTTGGATACTTAACTAGATCAATCAGTGTGGAAACAATGTTTCAGTGAAGTGAGGCAAACTTTCTCCACGCGAATAAAGGCGAGGATAAATATAAAAATCGGCGGATCGGCGTGAATCGTACGGATTTTTTTTAAAACGAATACAGGGGGAAAGCGAAAAAATAGCTCGTTCCTGCGTCCCAGAAAAGAAAGAACGATATCTAGGCCATTATAAATAATTACTACAACATTGTGCTTTGCTCCATCGCCCGCATCTCGTATCTCTTTTAATTAGTCCATTCCGTTTTAACGAGCCATAATCTGTCGGCGCGCGATTACTTTTTTTTTTTCTTTTCTCCATCATTTCGACGTCCACTTATCGAAGCTACGCCAGTCGTAAATAATTATATTTCATACGGAAAAAGGAAAAAAAAAAAAGGAAAACAAAAGAGAAGAGTCTTTTTTGTTTTGTTTCGTCTCGAGTTAATGGTTAATTTAATTTCAAATTGCGAAGAAAAATGTATGGTATAAATATGGTATATAGAAGTAATTTTTCGAATGTGAAAGCAACTTTGTCAATTTTTACATTCAATTTTCTTGTTTCTCTCTTCGTATCTATAATATCATGTAATAAAGTTTCGATGCATTCGTTCAATTTTAAAAAACTAACAGATAAATCCAATAGTTGTTATAAATCTATCATTTTTAAACTCGAAAACTTAGACTTAGATGAATAAATAAATTAATCGAATTCAAAAAAATTTGAAAAAAAGTTGGTTAATTTATTCGAACGAATGGAACGAATCTATTTTCCACGATGGAAAATCTTAACTTTAAGGTCACGTTGTCACGCTGCCTGCCTGCATAGGAATCGGAGCATGATGACGTAAACGCAAATCCGAAGCCCGATCAGCTCAGGATTAACGCGATTTTTCAGATATACGATTCTTCGACCCTTTCCCCTTTTCGTTATATCGCATCGATCGGCTCGCTTTTCATCTCGAATAAATTCTAATTCGAAAATTTTTAATTTCTCAGATCGAGGAATCTAATTAACGCGATTTTCCTCGATCCCCTCCTTTTTTTCATCGATATTCATCGATCGACTAGCTTTGCATTTCGAATAAATTCTAATTCCGAGAATTTTTATTCCGTTGTTGATCTTCAATTAACATTGAAATTTTTTTTGATGGATATATAGAAGATATTTCACATGGAACAATCGAGTAATATTAGGATAAAATAACATGTGATTGAAATAGCACATCTTTTTTTAAAAATGAACCTACTTCTTTTCTTTTAACAGATCAACAATTTTATCTTTAATCTTCCAATCCTCATCCT